TGCTCAGACGCGCGTGTGCTGCTGGGACAGATGCAGGCTTGGGGCACGGGGACAGGGCAAGGCCTGCGGGTGGCCACTGGCCTGCTGCCGCGTCCCCCCCACACCTGCGGGGTGGGGGACAGAGCTGCCTCTGCCAGGGCCCCATTCCCAGGAGGGTGGCCCGTGCTGAGTGTCGGGGCGCTCAGCTCCCGCAGCCTTGAAGAGAGGATGGGGCTCACCCCGGGCACTGCCTGCGGCCTCGGGGACTGCGGGGAAGAGAGGTCGCTGGGCGCCTGCCCTGGTCCAGCACCGCCCTCCGCCCGCCAGCCTCTGGCCCCAGGCAGTGGTGGTGCCAGGACAGGGCACTGAGGTTTGGGGTGCCCTGGGGCCTCTGGGGCGCCCAGAGCCCGTCCTACCTCTGCCTGTCCAGCAGTGACACGCAGGCCTGGGTGTGACCGCGGGGACCGTGAGGGGCTGGGGTGCACCCCGAGCGCCAGCAGCCCGCGGCTGGGGTGGGGGGCCGTGCGTGAGCCCCACGGCTGTCAGCCCAGGCCTGGAGGCCCAGCCCCAGGAGGCCGCACCGGCCAGCTGCCCGCACCCGGAGGCCGGACGGCGCCTGAGCCGGGCCTCCCCGCAGGTGCTTCTTCGCCTCGGTGGCCTCCGCCCTGGCCTACCTGCTGGGCCTGGCCACGATGATCCTCTACACCTTCGTCCAGTACTTCGTGGACGCCAGCCGCCTGCGCACGGACACCCTCTATGCGGGTAGGTGGCCGCGGGCTGGCCCTGGGGCACGGTGTCCGGCTGGAGGGCGGGCGGTGGCGCTGGCCTGGGCCGGGCAGCTGTGTCCCTGGATTTGCCCTCCTGGAGCCGACACGACTGGCCGGGCTGTGGACAGCAGTGACCCTCTGGGTCTGTGGTTCCGGAAGATTCCACGGTGGTCCCTGGGGAGCGTCCCTGTGAATGGCGGGGACTCAGACCCCCGCTCCGCTGGGGCGACGCGGCTGGGGCCCGGCGGCCAGCTCTGCCCTGGCGTGCAGCCCGCCGGCCACAGGGGCCGGCACTGCCAGTGTCCATGCTGCCGCGGGTGGCAGCCCGCCCACAGCGCTGACCTTTCTCGACGCCTGGCCCCGGGGCTGTGGTGTCCAGGCGCTGAGCGGGCGCCCG